ATCCCAAAACTATAATGGAAACTGTTGTTGTATTTAAACTCAATCAGTGGCCAGTGGCTGTCCCAAGCACATCCTTGTTCCAACAAACAAGCCCTTAATAAATCGTCCAAAGACTGAATAGTCCTCTCCATCTGACCGTCCGTCTGCGGATGGTATGCACAACTCAACTTCAACTTAGTACCAAAACCATTCTACAAACCTTCCCAGAATTTCAACGTAAACCTCATATCCCTATCTGACACGATACTCGATGGTATTCCATGAAATTTCACAATCTCGTCAATGTACATCTCACCTAGCTTCTCCATATGATGATTAATCTTCATTGGTAAGAAATGAGTCGACTTAGTCAACCTATCCACTATCACCCAAATTAAATCATTTCCTTTAAAAGTCTTCGGCAAACCCAACACGAAATCCATATATATAATGTCCCATTTCAACTTTGGAATAATCAAAGGTTGTAGAAAACCCATAATCTTCTGATGTTTAATCTTTGACTTCTGACAATTTAAACAAGCATAAACAAATTTATCGATTTCCTTCTTCATACCAGGCCATCAAAATAACTTCTTCAAGTCTTGACACATCTTTGTAGCACCAGGATGAATAATTAACCCACTTTGATATCCTTATTCAAGGATACTTCTCTTAAGTTCTGGAATATCCAAATCACACACTCTAATTCCGAACCTCATCACACCATTATCATCAACTTTGCACTCACCTCCATTAACTTGGTCAATCAAGGTCAAAAGTTTAACCAATTTCAAATCATACTTCTGACCTTCTCGAATTTCTTCTAAAATGCCACTAGTCAGTTTCAACATTCCCAACTTCACACTATCGAGAGTCTCTCGACATACTAAGCTCAATCTTACAAACCATTATCGTTTGATGTAGATTTAACCCCTTCTCTTCTTTTGATCTTCAACAAGACCAAGACACAATACTACCAATTTATTATCCGCATCTTGCTACTACTTTGCGTACTTTATCTCTGAAGCTTTCGTGCACCATCGATTGCACATATTGGAACATAATACTTCAATTTTATTCACCGTTCTCACTACTTCCTTTGTGTTCTTTATCTCCAAAGGATCCTTGGCATTATTTTTCTCCAAAGGGCTTTCACTTTGCCACAATCCTCTTTTTTAAATGTCTTACACGAAAACCCTCAAATCATCAATGATCTTGGAGGATAAACCCGCGGTTTTTCCGTATGAAGACCCCTGTAAATCTCAACCTAATATTCTCAGCTACACAAGAACCTAATTGGACGTTATCAAACCTCGTCTAGATGGAACCCCAACAAAAGATCACTACAATAGAATGTTATTTGTATCCATAAGTTGGAGGTTGAATGTGTAGAGCGATTACAAGAAACTTTTATGGTACCATCATGTTCGAATGGTGCATGGATGATGTATTTATAGTTATGGAAATATTAGGGAAAAGGAGGGAAATTCGAAGAAAAAAAGAAAATAGAAAATTTGACTCTTGAAATAGTATGAGTCAGTCTATAGCTTGGATGAGCTGACTCATAGTGTTATCTTTAACAGCATAAGCTGGCCTGAAATGACCTATGAGTTGGCCTGAATAAAACAAAAACGAAGCGCTTATTTAGGACAGTACATGAGCCGAAATGAAATGGCTTATGAACCAGCATGACCAAGACAGAAGAAAACACCTTATCCAGGATAATACATGAGTCATCCTAAAAATTTTATGCACCGGCCTGAAATGTTAGGATCCGGCCTGAAACTATTATGAGCCAGCACATAAAAGTGTGTTTTGTGAAGAAAATAATTTTTCATGATTTGGATCAATTTTAAACTTGTTTTGAATGCTTCATAAGACCTCTAATGCAAGAGGTGCCACAACAACTCAGGAATATCATCCAATATACATAAATGCTAAGTTCTTATAGTTTTGACATCATGCAAAATATCTAATGGTGAAGTTTCACTCACATACTCCCCCTTTTTTATTATGGAAAACTTGCAATGATGCATTTAATGTAGTTATCGAAGGCTCCCCCTGACTTTGTTCTTCCAAACTTCATCTCACATATGCTTCTGCCCCTTTGACAACATCAAAAAATAAAGAATGAAAATCGGAGAAGTATCATATTCCAATACCAATATTGTTATATCACTCATATGCGTTTTTGCAAAGAAGAGCAACAATCACATATCCCCATATATTTGTAATGATGTGAAATTGATAAATAACAAGCATAAAATATTATCAAACATGTAATGTAATGCATGAATAATATTGAATGTAATGCATGAGCAAACTTTTCAAGTTGCTTCTTTAGCGTCACAATTACATAATACAACACAATAGAAGTCCCGATGCCGCACACACATGTGACTAGCATAGTGACAAGAACATGTCACTACTCAATCCAAAATGAAAGTATTGTCATAAAATGTGACTCAACTACAACAAGAACCATACATGCAATTAACATGTTTACATTCAACTCGTGCACGAATGCAAGAAATAATAATAGAAACATATGCTTGTACATACAAGAACAAACTTATACAAATGTGAAAGAATTAATACGTGAAGTCGTTATAAGTATATACATTGAGAACATATAATGGTTATCAATCAATTTTTTTGGAAATGAAAATTCATGTTTTTCATCATTTGAGAACATAACAAGCATTTTTCATCAACTAACATGTACTAAGAAACATCTTACTTTCAAGGATAAATTTGGAACAATATCACCTCACTCTTGATGGAATGGAAGTTGCACTCACATGATGTAAAATACTTCAAACAAAGTCTTAGAACAAAAGTATAAAAGTGCAAGTATCATAATAAAGAAAGAAACACTAGAGACATTAATAATCCCCAATTCCACATGTTTATTGAAAAACGGTTTGGTTGCAAACATTTGTGAAAAAGGTCAGCAAGATAATTTTCACTATCAAAATGCTAGAACTCAACATCCCCTCTTTCAACATGATCACGAGGTAATTCTCCACGCACGTATTTCTTCCTTGAGTTACTTTATTTGGAGTCCAAGAAAGTAATTTAACTCCCCATAAGACTCATTTCAAACACGACATGCATAAGCTTAGAGAACTCATTCACAAGTTACATGTCAGTAGAATCAAATATGATATAGTGTCAAATGTGTTATGTTTAATGTATAATAAAGTTAAACATGCTTGTGTACACATAAGTGTTTATAAAATAAAATACATGAAAATATTGTATGATGAGATCATTACAAGTATATAAATTAATAGCACACCATAATTATCAATTAAGAATTACTTTCCAAATGAATACTCATAATATATATATATATATATATATATATATATATATATATATATATATATATATATATATATATATATATATATATATATATATATATATATATATATATATATATATATATATATATATATATATATATATATATATATATATATATATATATATATATATATATATATATATATATATATATATATATATATATATATATATATATATATATATATATATATATATATATATATATATATATATATATATATATATATATATATATATATATATATATATATATATATATATATATATATATATATATATATATATATATATATATATATTCATATATCAAATACAATAAAGCAATAATAGAATGGACACAAATAACTTATCCTGGTTTGTTAACTTGGTTAGTCTAATCCTCACACCTAGTGAGATTATCCTTTACTGGATCTCTTTCCAATATCTTTTCTTTCTATGTATTCTTAGCCTCACCAGGCTTACACTTCTGAATAATATAGGCTACATGAGCTTACTAGAGTGTTTGGTTTGTGTATATATGATATGATACAACAAGCTTTAAGTACTCACTATGTGGTAGTGAGGATATGATAAGAACTTTCGAGCTTATAATATGATTACAATAATCCTTACTAACTCACTATTTGGCAGTGATGAAGTAATGAAAAGTTTAAAGGTATATGATTCTTTTGATTGATAATGTTTCAGATTTTCTAGATCTGCAAGTGTGTTGAAAGAAACATAAGTTTCTTTTTTATAGAAGAGCAAATTGATCTGTAGAAATATTTGTCAAGTATGTCCTTAGTATTTATTTAAAATTACGAAATGGTCCATAGGATATGATGACATTTTAGATGTCCTATAGAATATCTTGAGAAATGCTAATGAGTAATTTTCATTTTTTTACGGTACATGTGGATCCTTATAATTACTTATTCTTGAATAATGCTTATCATCGTATAACTCTTATCCTCGGATACTGGTTACCCTCATATGTTTCTTATCCTTGAATACATCTTATCCTCTAAAACTTTTGTGAGTCTTCAAGTTTTATGAAGCCTTTTTTTAAGAATGTCTTACCAAGACTTTTGATGACACAATAGTTGAATTTATTTAAAGTAGATTGTTTTAGAGTTTCTTTAAAATAGTTTATTAGATTCAAAATCAGAATATACTTCAACATTATCCCCCTTTTTGAATGGTGACAAACTATTTGTTTTATGTCCTTGATAAGAGCAGTTATTTTTTAGAAACTCCCTCTGAAATTATGCATGCTTTTGAAGAACAAATGATCCCCCTCAATGTTAGTAAATGGATACAAGAGTTTTAACAGTGAGAAGTATTTGCATGAGATAAAACATTGAAAGATAATTTCATAGATAGATAATATATTTATAAAGAAATTTGTTTGAGGATAAAATATATTGTCATCAATACTTTGGTTCACAAACAAAAAGGATCCAGAGCCTCTAGGTAATCGGGGAAGTCCCGATTACCTAGAGGCACTAAGGAGCCAGAGCCTCATCATTTGAAGTAGCTTCAGAGGATAGAGGGAGTCATGTAAACTGCATGGTTGATATGTCAGGAGCAGAAACACCTGAGAAGTGAGGGCATACTTTTATTGTAAAGAAGTCAGCCAAAAAAGCATCACTTGCCATCTTCTATTTTTAAAGAGCAGTCATGGATCTAAGATAGATGTATTTGTTTGGTTTTGGACAATCAGATTGAGTGGTGGAGTTAGGATGGACCCGGGGGTGGGTATTCATGCTTGGGATGTCACAGAAGAATGATGATGCTAAGGAAGTAATTTGTGCAGGATCTGGAAGGAAAGTGTTGGAATCATTTGTGTTAATGCATAGCGGTGAGAAGTCATATTTTGGGGGTAGGAGTAGAGTGTCTATATCAAATCCAGTATCTCCATTTTTGGGAGAGAAGAAAATTGGGGATTCAACACGAAAATAGTCCTTATCAGAGATAGTAATTATAGGTTCAGGGTTATCATTAGGGATGCCATAGTGTTGTTCCACTGATCGACTTTGATGGTGGAAAAGTAGTGTATCAATTTGTTGATTGAAATCTGCAGAGTGTGGTTCTGGTACAACAAGATGGCAAAGAGTAGTAGAGACATGAAGGATGGTTTCTTTGGGAGGGGACATGATGGTGACAGTGGAAGGATAAATGATGGAGGATGATGGAAGTGCGAATGGTAGATTTGCAGTTTGTTAGGTTGGAATCAATTTAGAGCATGAGTTATGGAGTGGATAATGGTTGGAGATGAAAGAGCATTGGGAAAGAGAATAACTTGTAGAGGATTAAAGTCAGATGCTAGAGAGGAAATATCAATTTGCAGGAGAAAAGTTTCGGCAGCTGAATGGATGTCCTCATCATTTTAAAGCTTATCCTCAGTGACCAGATTCATATCCTCATAAGTTTGGTTTATATCCTCAGTATTTGGATTGATATCTTCAGAGGTTGTTAATTCAGCAAATATATTCTCAAGGCAAGACGATGTAGGAATGATCGTTGAGAGATTGTTGCCTCATCATAAGAGATATCCTCAGCCATTGGGCTTATAGCACATAGTGGATCTATTTTAGTTAAAGGAGGACTTTTCACAGTTTGATTTTCAGGTGGTGGAGATGTAAGAAGTTTTGGTGATTCAACATATATGGGTAGAGGAGTTGATATTGGGATTCTGTCAGGGGATGGAATTGAAATAGAGGAAGTTTGACTAGTTTTCAAGGATTTTGATGGAGTAAAAGCTTTGACTAGGTGTTTGCTCTTATGTGTAGGAGGAGAAACAGGTTTGATGATAGGAATACACATGCGATCGAGTTTGGATGCATTAACTATGTGTTTGATTGTATCCAGTTTTCTGTAATAGGAATGTTGAAATGGTTAAAAACCCTAGTCAAAAGCAAACCGTATGATGTGCTTCTTCCTCTTGTAAACATATACTTGATATAGTTCAAGAGAACATGCCCAAGGTTGAGATGGATTCGCTTGGTGAGATGGTAAATGAGTAGCATATCCTGCTCATTGACTTTCTCAAGACTTCCAACTTATGGAATAATGGTATGAATGGAGATGTTATGGATGATGTGGCTTGATGGTTCTAGACTTGATGAGGCAAGCTCTTTGGTAGGAATTTTTATTATATTAACAACAAAGGTTTATTTTTCAGTGTCGCATTTGGTGAACCAATCATCATAGAACAGATGAATACCATTATTGGGAACATTAATAAGTTTGTAGAGAAGTTTGGTGGTTAAAACAATTTTGACACCTTTGGCATATGAGGTGAGTGTTTCATCAAACTTGTTTGGTTCAATGGTAGCATAAAAACTCCTAACATTGGAAGGGTAGAAAGGTTTTATTATTTCAAGAAGGTGTGTCGAACCAATTTCAGCGGGAAGGTGTTTCATGTTATACCCCCTTGAAGTATAAGTGTCTAGATCAATAGCTTTTCCAGAGACAACATGAATGGAACGCCATTTTCTGTTGAGCATCTCTCTATGACAAGATCAGTGATGAACATTTCATCGAAGAAGTCAGGTAGATTATTGAACGCCAGAAACGAACTGCACACAAGAGTAGTTGCTTCTCTAGATGAAGGAATGTTTGTGGTTTTTGTGTTACTGGTTTCAGCAGTTGCGTGTGGGTTAGGATTTTCACTGAAATCACTTGAGTGAACGAGGCGATTGGAGAAACGGGTGGGGTTAGGGGTAACAATTTTCATGGTGGTTTTGGGATATGATTTGGTCGTTCGACGCTTTGTGGGAGGATTTTCCATTTCTTGAAGAGAGGAGGTTTTAAGGTTTTTTATTATAGAAGGGAACTATGTGTGTTGTAGGTTTAGAATGAATGAGAATTTTTGGAGGTATAGGAAACAAAGAGATGAGAATAGAGAAAGTTGAAAAGGTTGTTCTAGAAGATTATTGGGAAGTGAGAACAAGTAAGATAATGTGAGAGTGAAATGATGGGTTAGGTGTGAAAGAGTAGGGTGACGTGATTGATGTGCAAAGAGCATTAAATGAGGATGATAAAAAGTAAGATATTTTAATGAAGGGTATATTTGGCATGTGAGAACGGGTCAAAAAAGTGACAAAAAAAAGGATTACAATAGAGAGTAAAGAACCAGAAACAAGTTTATTTGTGACAATGATACAATGGTTTTCTTGACCTCATAATTTTGATATACCCTAAGATAATTCCAAGACCTTATGAAATTTACAAATTAACAAGGCATTTTAGTAATGAATAATTTATTTTTTATAAATTTAAATCTATCTTCTACCAAAGGTTTGGTAAAAATATAAGCTAAATGATTATTAGTGTCCACAAAAATAAGTTCTATATCTCCCTTTTGAACATGATCTCTTATAAAATGATGTTTTATTTAAATGTGTTTAGATGTTGAGTGTTGAATGAGATTTTTTGATAAATTAATAACACTAGTATTATCAAAAAATATTGAGACCTTGGAGTATTGAAGTGAGTAGTCTTCCGATTGATTTTTGATCCATAATATTGGTGAGCGCTAATTTGCAGTAGAGATATATTCGCTTCAATAGTTGAAAGAGCTATGGTATTTTGTTTTCTACAAGACCATGTAATGAGAGATTATCCTAGGAATTGACATGCACCGCTTGTACTTTTTCTTTCAATTGTATCTCCTGCATAATCAGTGTCATAATAGGCTATTAGATTTATATGATTTCCTGTCTCGTACCAGAGACCAATTTCAGTAGTACCAACAAGATATCGAAGAATACGTTTAACCACAGTTAGGTGAGATTCTTTTGGATCAGTTTAAAATCTTGCACATAGACCTACTGAAAAGACAATGTCAGATCTACTAGTAGTTAAATATAATAATGAACCAATCATACCTCTATATTCCTTTTATGATAAGGATAATCCTTATTCATATTTGTCAAGGTTTGAAGAAGGATGCATAGGTGTGAGCATATTTTTGCTTCACTCATACCAAAATTATTTAACAAATCTTTAGTATATTTTTCTTGACATATAAAAATCCCATTTTGAAATGGATTGATTTGAATCCCAAGAAAGAAGCTTAGTTCTCCCATCATACTCATCTCAAACTCACTTTGCATAAGATTTGAAAATTTATTACACATTTTTTTCATTTGTTGATCCGAAGATAATATCATTAACATACACTTGGACTATAAGAAGATCATTTTTGAGTGATTTTTTAAAGATTGTGTGTTGTACCCTAAAATTTACCCTTCCATTTTCCATTCAAGACATTCTCATGAGATGCTCATTTGCTCAAGGTGGCTCAAGAATTGATCAGACAAATTCTCCTCCTAAGCAATGGTTCCATAACTAGGGTTTTGAGTTTCTCAAGGAAGATTGGGTTTCCAAGGTCTCAAGTGATTTTTATGGTTATTCATATGTCTTCAACAATGCTCATGTCAAGTTTCAAGTCTTGCATTACAAGTTTGCTCCGTCAATGGCTCAGATGACTGAAAATCAACTGTATTGGGTAAAAAGTAAACTATGGTCAACATACAGTAAAACCTCAAGCTTATATTGGAGGAAATTAAATTATCTACAACTTTGTATCTCTATGCTCAAGTCCAAAAATGCATCACTTGAGAGATATAAGCCAATACATTACATGTCATTTCAAAAGTCAACAAAAATACACTTTTTGTCAAGGCAACTTACATCAAGATAAACTATTCAAAAGTAAAAATTATTAACATAGAGGTTATAAAGGACATCTCGAGCTTTCCAAAAAGTTCAAGATCACCGTCAAAAGATGAAAATTGAGTGAGTTATGACCATTTCAAGTTGGGAAATTTTGAGCAAATGCATGAAGTTCAAATTGAGCAAGCTTGATATTATGGACTATTGGGCCATGGTTTTGAGGTCCAAACGTGTTTATGCCTTTCATACACCTCAGAATTCATTCACACGCCTTTTGGCCTTGTTTTATTTAATTATTTTTGATTTAATTCATTAATAATACAAAATAATAAGATAAAATTATATCTTGTTACACAAGGGCCCAAGCCCATTTGTTTTTGCCCTAAAAATTCTCTATATATTCAAGCCTCAAGACAAGAACAAAAGACGAAATCCTTGCATCATAAAATTGTCAAAAAACACCAAAATTATCCAAGAACCCTAAGATTTGAAAACCCTATTTTCAAGTCTCCTCACCACCAAACTTCCATTCCATTCACTTCTAGGAACATTGAAGGGTAAGATTGGATCAATTACCATGATCCAAAGGACCTGAGCCAGTACACACACATAATCGTTTTTGCATTATTTCATGATTCTTGTATTTTTGTTTTCATGATGTTTTAACGCACACTAATGCCACTAACATGTTTCTGAGACGCTAATGTGTAGGTTTGAATCATAGCATGAGTCCCATGCTATCTGGATCATGAATGGCCATGATCAAACCGGTTCATGTTATTTTGGCCATACCTTACAAACCAGGACGAATTAGCCTTCGAAAATGTCCCCATTGGATTCACAACCTCTGTTTTAGGGGGGTGCCACATGATTGGATCACTAACGTTGTGTTTCTTACAGGTTATTAAAAAAGGGGTCACCGGAGAAGACGATCGGAGCTAGGGCACCGACGTTTCTCCGACCTATGTATTTTGTTTTATATTATATTTGTTTTGTTTAATTATAGGAAAGAATGAACAACCACCCCAGTGGCAGAAGCACGCATGATAAGGAATTAGTATCAAAGGTCTTGGGTTCGAGCCAACCTTTTGACACTTTTTTCTCTAATTTCTCATATGTTTTACAGGTTTAGCATACATTGTTTTGTTCCTGTTTCTAAACACAAATGAGCGTCTGGCTCAGGTAGTGTGCATGCTTCCTTGAGATGCAAGGGGCATGGGTTCCACACCAACCCCAACATTCTTTTTTCTCTGTTTTACTCACTAACCTTATTTTCACTTTTTTCACATAAACCCTAATTTTTTTAATCAACATTAAAACAAATTATATTTAGTTTTATTTCTCATAAATTAAATTTTATTTTTATTGATCAAAATTAATTAGGATAATTAATCTCGATTAATTTATTTACTTAACGTTTTTCCGATTAATTAAATCAACCTAGACTTTAGGGCTTGCTTAATTTAAATCACTTGACTTTTTTCAATCAATTAGGTTTAGGTTAAATCATCAATTATTTTTCATCAAACAATTTTCCTCTTATTTTATGATCTTTGCGCGCTTTATTATTTTCGTATTAGTTTTTCTGCTATGTAACTGCTATGAAATGTAATAGCTTAAATTAGGGTTTTTTTCTTACTTTATTTCCCCAATTTTTTGTGGTTTTGTACCCCCTTCCCCGAAGCTTTATCATAGTGTAGGACATTTAACTTTTGTCTTTACTGCTTTCCTTATTACTACTAGTAACTAGGGCATGTATGACAAGATCTAAAATCAGCCGTTAGATAACCCTAAGTCCAAGATTAAATAACTGAATTGAACCACTATTCACACTTGCATCTCTAGGGTAACCTCACTTGTTGCCTCAGATAAAAATAGTCACGTCCCTCAAACTTGGGGACACTTTAGCAAAATCCCTCCGATTAAAAAGATCGTAGTCCCTCGATGACCCTTCGATGTTGCCTTTGGTAAACGATCTCGTTCCTTAATGATAAATTGATAAAGTGTCCTTACCAGTTGCCTTTATGATTTTATGATGACCCGCGCCTGTCCCTTCACATCTAACGATAGGGCTTGCTACTAACTAATGGTAGGATATCACTATCTAATGAGGAGGAAAATAATGTGAAATAACTTTGAGTAAG